ACCAGTGCCAAATATTACCTACTCCTGCTTGAGATTCCCCTGTTTATACATCCCAGGATCACATTAGCCCATTTGTTCGCAGCTTCACAGTGGAAGCTCATGTTCAGCTGATTATCCACCATGATTCCCAAACCTTTTTTCAGAGTCACTGCTTTCTAGGATAGAGTCCCCCATCCTGCAAGTATGGCCAACATTCTTTGTTCCTAGATGTACAACTTTACATTTGGCCATATTAAAATTAATAGATTGACAGGTTCCAAGGCCAGATGGGACCACTGTGATCATCTAGTCTGTCCCCTGTATAACAGAAGCCAGAGACCTGCCCCCAAATAATTTCCTAGAGCAAATCTTTTAGAAAACATCCAGTCTTGATTTAAAAATTGTCAGCATATTGTTTGCTTGTACCCAGCTCACCAACTGATCCAGATCGGTCTGTATGAGTGACCTGTCCTCTGCATGACAACTGCGGGGCACATTGTCAGTTTTGTGTGTCAGACCTGTCTGATGCCCACGTGTCCCAAAACAAGTAAAATATAATACAAGTGCCATTTGGATAGGTTCTCTATATCCCAAAATCCTTTGCAGAATTAGATAATACAGTTTCCACATTTTTTTATATTTCTTTTGTTTTTGAGAGAGTGAGAGCTGCAAAGTCAGTGAGGTTTTAAAATCTGGATAGCTGAAAATAGAAGAGCTGATGGGGTGTGGAGATGGCAGGAGCTGCAGAGAAAAAGGATCTTAAATCCAGCGTGGAGAGTTGTGCTGAAAAAGAGAGAGTGGGTCAGTGCTACACAGGTGCTTCGAGTGGGGGAATAAGAGAACAAGAGAGAACTCTGTGGAGGATTTTTAAAGCAAAGAGGACAGGTTTGAACTGGATCCTGCAATGACCAGAGACCCAGTAGAGTGTTTTGAGGATGGGATAAGGAATGTCTGGATGATGACTTCATCACAGGTGAATCTCAGGCAGTCGTATGCAGGAGGAAGATGGGGGATGCATGCATTTGATTAGCGCCAGGCAGAGCTCAGCTGGTGGATTAGATCTCTACTCTTTCCATGTGTTTTGCTAGGCAGTTTACCAGCCTAATAATATTTGCAGGTGCTGGCATCAGTTTGGGGGCTTTTGTTTTTTGAGATGTTTGGGAACTGTGGTACACAGCCAGAAAATGACATCACAGTTGACAATGCTGTTGACAGGTTCCTCAGAGAGAGACTGAATGAATGGTACCTGGAGACTGGTCACCCCACCAGGGGTCCATGTAGGACAGGTGGTGGGGGATATGTAGGAAGCTAGTGCTGCTATTGCTTAAGCTGTACTTATTCTGGGATAAACAGAGACCTTAGCAGTGGTATAAATCTGGAACCCTTCACCGAATGCATTTAAAAGAAAAACCATGGTGCATTATTTTGGGCTTATCTATGGCAGGAGAAGTGGGTATACTTTGTTTACTGCTCTCTCTTTCATCTGTGGGGCCTGCTGGTTTTCACTTAGTGAGCATATCTCATTCTTAGTATGGATCTGATGTGTTGGAGCAGAGAAGTCTAGTCTTGTTTCCATTCTGCAGCCACCTGAAGGAAATGTCCAGGCTTAATAATTAATTTTAAGTGGATTTAGGGACATAGAGGGAGAAGCTTCATATGTTTGACATAGGCCCTAATTCTTAGGTTCATGGAGCTTTTCTTTGATCTCTTTTGTTACCAGTGAACCATGGGCATTAGAGATGGGACAATCCTAGTAGGTCCAATACAGTCCGTATGATGCAGGATTGTTCCCTACACTACCGCATCTGATATAAAGATTTTCCTGGTACCCCAATTTTTTCCTTTAACCCCTTGTTACTCTCCCCCTTGTGCCTACTTACATTCATATCCCTCCTTAAGCCCCAATTCTGCAAGGAGCTCTATTTTGGAATGGACTTTTTGCCCCTGTTGGTAGGGCTCTCTGCAAGCATCAGCGTCCAGCCCCGTGGAGTTAATGGCCAGATCACGATCTTTGTGTGCTCACCTTTCCAGGAGTTGTAGCCCATTGTGCTCCACCCACTTAACTTTTGCTTAAAGCCACGCTCTACAGTTAATGCTCAATCCTGCAGTTGCTGAGGGAACTCCATTCCTAGAGAGGGCAAAGGCAGTGGAGGAATCTACCTCTTCCCTGAAGGTTCTCAGCACCCTGAAGGATGATGGTTCTTCTAATCCAGTCTCTCCATGGCTTGGGCATTTTTGTTGCTCTGATCTGCATGCCTCCCACTTTTCCCAGCGCTCATGGCCTGGCCCAGGGGCCGTGCCCCTGGAGCATTGTCTGCAGCGAGGCACTAGTGCCATATGGCTCCCTGAACAGAGTCATGACTGAACCTGCGCACAGGCTGGGACTGGGGTATGCCAGCTCTTCCCGTCTCTGTGAGGGGCTGGGGAATGAATGGCTGTCAGCGTTTGCTAGCACGGGTTCTGCCCGGACAGCATTGGTCCCTCCCGTGGGGGCTGGGACGGAGACAGAGCCATGGCCTGGGGTTCGATTCCTCCTGTGTGTGGCCGGACGGATGAAATGTCTTGCGATAGGGTAGCACCAGCCAGGCGTGTCGGCTTCAGGGCTGGTGGAGGGGGCTGGGTCTCTGACCCTTGCTCGCTGCCATGGACCCCTAAAGCTTGGACAGGCTCCTCCTGCCAGCGGGGGTGGTGGGCCCCTGTGAGGTTTGGTGTAGGCAGTGTGGGGGCGGCTGTGGGGATATGCAGTAGAGGGCATGGGCTGGGGGCGCTGTGTCGTGTGTGTGTGTGCGTGCGTGCAGTGGAGGGTGCTGTGCAGTGGGGAGTGTTGTGCTGTGTGTGTCTGTGTGGTGGGCGCTGTGTGGTGGAGGGGGGGGTTGTGCTGTGTGTGGGCGCTGTGCAGTGTGTGTGTGTGTGAGGGGAGTCGTTGTATAGTGATGGGGGGCTGTGCTGTGGGTGGGGGGCGCTGTGCAGTAATGGGGGGCTGTGCTGTGGGTGGGGGCGCTGTGTAGTAATGGAGGGGCGCTGTGCAGTAATGGGGGGCTGTGCTGTGGGTGGGGGTGCTGTGTAGTAATGGGGGGCACTGTGCAGTAATGGGGGGGCTGTGCTGTGGGTGGGGGCGTTGTGTAGTAATGGGGGGTGCTGTGCAGTAATGGGGGGGCTGTGCTGTGGGTGGGGGGCGCTGTGTAGTAATGGAGGGGCTCTGTGCAGTAATGGGGGGCTGTGCTGTGGGTGGGGGCGCTGTGCAGTAATGGGGGGCTGTGCTGTGGGTGGGGCGCTGTACAGTAATGGGGGTTGTGCGGGGGGCGCTGTACAGTAATGTGGGTATGGGGCGCTGTGCAGTAATGGGGGGCTGTGCTGTGGGTGGGGGCGCTGTGTAGTAATGGGGGGGCTGTGCTGGAGGTGGGGGGCGCTGTACAGTAATGGGGGGGCTGTGCTGGGGTGGGGGGGCACTGTGCACTAATGGTGGGCTGTGCTGTGGGTGGGGGCGCTGTACAGTAATGGGGGGGTTGTGCGGGGGGCGCTGTACAGTAATGGGGGGGCTGTGCTGGCTGGGGGCGCTGTGCAGTAATGGGGGGGCTGTGCTGGAGGTGGGGGCGCTGTGCAGTAATGGGGGGGCTGTGCTGGAGGTGGGGGCGCTGTACAGTAATGGGGGGTTGTGCGGGGGGCGCTGTACAGTAATGGGGGGCTGTGCTGGAGGTGGGGGGGTGCTGTACAGTAATGGGGGGCTGTGCTGGAGGTGGGGGGCGCTGTGCAGTAATGGGGGGTTGTGTGCAGGGGGGGCGCTGTGACAGTAATGGGGGGGCTGTGCTGGAGGTGGGGGGCACTGTACAGTAATGGGGGGGCTGTGCTGGGGTGGGGGCGCTGTGCAGTAATGGGGGGTTGTGCTGGAGGTGGGGGCACTGTGCAGTAATGGGGGCGCTGTGCAGTAATGGGGGGCTGTGCGGGGGGGGGGCTGTGCAGTAATGGGGGGGCTGTGCTGGAGGTGGGGGCGCTGCACAGTAATGGGGGGTTGTGCTGGAGGTGGGGGCACTGTGCAGTAATGGGGCGCTGTGCAGTAATGGGGGGCTGTGCGGGGGCGCTGTGCAGTAATGGGGGGGCTGTGCTGGAGGTGGGGGGCGCTGCGCAGTAATGGGGGGGCTGTGCTGTGGGTGGGGGGCGCTGCGCAGTAATGGGGGGGTTGTGCGGGGGCGCTGTACAGTAATGGGGGGCTGTGCTGGGGTGGGGGCGCTGCACAGTAATGGGGGGGCTGTGCTGGAGGTGGGGGGTGCTGTGCAGTAATGGGGGGGCTGTGCTGGAGGTGGGGGCGCTGCACAGTAATGGGGGCTGTGCTGGGGTGGGGGCGCTGTACAGTAATGGGGGGTTGTGCGGGGGGCGCTGTGCAGTAATGGGGGGCTGTGCTGGGGTGGGGGCGCTGTGCAGTAATGGGGGCGTGTGGGGTGGGGGGCGCTGTACAGTAATGGGGGGCTGTGCTGGGGTGGGGGCGCTGTGCAGTAATGGGGGGTTGTGCGGGGGGGCTGCACAGTAATGGGGGGCTGTGCTGGAGGTGGGGGGCGCTGTGCAGTAATGGGGGGGCTGTGCTGGGGGTGGGGGGCGCTGCGCAGTAATGGGGGGCTGTGCTGGGGTGGGGGCGCTGTACAGTAATGGGGGGCTGTGCGGGGGGCGCTGCACAGTATTGGGGGGTTGTGCGGGGGGCGCTGTACAGTAATGGGGGGCTGTGCTGGGGTGGGGGCGCTGTGCAGTAATGGGGGGTTGTGCGGGGGGGGCTGTGCTGGAGGTGGGGGGGGGCGCTGCACAGTAATGGGGGGCCTGTTCCCCGGCCCCGAGCCCGAGTCCCGCCGCGGGGGCTGAGGCGGGACCAGCTCTCTTCCAGCCGCCCCCTGAGGCGCCCCTGGCCGGGCTCCGCTCTGATTGGGTAGCGCGAAGACCCCCGCTCCGTTGGATTGGGTAGCGCCGTGTCCATCCGCGCCCTGGGATTGGCTGGGGGCCGCCCGCCCCGCTACGCGATTGGCGGTCGTGGAGCCTGGAGCCCCGGCCGGCCGGGGGGCACCTCCTGCCGCCGCCGCCGCTTCCCGGCCTGGCGGGGCCGCCGGAGGGGTCGCCGGGGCCGCGCGCCGCGCCGGTGAGCGGGGGCCGCAGCCGGGCCGGGGGCGGCGGGCGGGGTCAGACAGCGCCGGCCGGCGTGTGGGGAGCCGGGCCCCCCCTCAGCGCCCCCCCTTCCGGCCCGCCCCCCCAGCGCCCCTAGTTCCCCCTGCGGCCCGCCCCCCCTCAGCGCCCCCCCTCAGCGCCCCCCCAATTCCCCCTCAGCGCCCCCCCGGCTCGGCCCCCCGTCAGCTCCCCCCCTCCGCCCCCCCCCAGCGCCCCTAGTTCCCCCTGCGGCCCGCCCCCCCCTCAGCGCCCCCCCTAATTCCCCCCTCAGCGCCCCCCCCGGCTCGGCCCCCCGTCAGCTCCCCCCGAGTCCCCCCTCCCCCCCAGCGGCCCCCCGGCCCGTCCCCCCCCCGCGTGTGTCCACCCCCCCAGCAGCGTTCACAGCCCCTGCGCCTGGCCCGTTTGGCTCCCCCCGGCCCGGCCCGGCCCGGCCCGGCCCGGCCCTCAGCACCCTCCCCCGTCCGAGCCGGCCCCTGTCAGATCCGGGGCTCCCCGCCCCGGCGGCAGAGGCCCCGGGGTCTGCTTCGGCGCGGGGCTAGAGCGGGGTGGGCACCGGCACTGTGCCCCCTTGGGGAGCCAGGGCCTGGGGCCATGTGGGCTGCCCCAGGGAAAGGGGGCTGGGTGCTGCCCCGCACAGTGACCGCCCGCTCGGGCCTGGGGAGCTGGGGTGGGCTCGGCTTGGCAGCCTCAAGTCTCTTTCCGCTTCTTGTTGTGTCTGAATGTCCTGTGTTCCCTGACTCAAATTGCAGGAACCTTTCTGGGGGGTGGATCTGCGGTGTCTGCGCCCTCATCTGCCATTGACTAGGACCTTGACTGGAGAGGCTAGGCAGCCTCCAGGGCTGAATGATGTTTCCTGCTTCAGTCCTGAACTGTTCAGTTCCAGTCTAAATGTTTCTGAGCTCTTCAGACCTAATGTGGCTGAGCTTGGTCGCTTCGCCACTCATAGGTGGGCTCCTGCTAAGCATGGCTGCGTGTGCATGGGGGCTTGAGCCGCAGTTGGGCTACGGCAGGAGCAACAGGAACCAGCATCGCCCTTGTCTTCTCCAGAATGTATCTCCCCATATCCCTGTTGCAGCTAGTCTCCAGGAGGAAACAATTGCACCCCATGACTCTGGCCAAAAGGCATAGAGCTGACTGGTTACCGGAATACAGATGGACTGCAGACCCCTGCAATCTGTTGGCATCTGTAATTGCCCAGCACTGCCCTCTTAACCCTGTTGGAAAGCTGGGAAGAGAGTTGTTGAAGAAGAATCCCTTCCACTCTCTATAGATTGCCTAGGCCATCTCAGTTGACCTTGTGGTAAATGGTACCAAAGATTGCCATCAATAACACCAGACTTTTGCCTATCACTAGAATGATCATTAATGAAGTACATCAGTGCAGTCTCTAAATAACTATTCTTTTGGTAGCTGTGTGTTAAGAATGCTCCTTTAATAAATCCATTATTGAGAATCTTTCCCAGCCATGTCTGTCCTCCAGTCTCCCCCCACACAAATGCTGTCACTAGCTATCACCTGAAGGGCCTGGGTACACCTTATAAACTGTAGCCTAAATTTCGTCTGATGAGGGAACCTATGAGGAGAATGGAAGGGTCGCTCTACTTAGTGGTTGAAGACACAAGATCACAGTATCATCCTTGGCCATTGCCTGGAGCATGACCTTGCAGTAATGTGGCTACCTCCCCCTTTTCCCTTGTCTTCAATCCTCTTGGTGAAGAAGGTGCTATCCTGTAGTGGTTCAAGTGATGTAGAAGAGGCTTGGGGTAGCTGCTGTTCTTATTTTCCCTCCAGAGGTCTATCTGTAGGCATCCGCTTTGGCAAACTAATTGTGACTAGGGCTTCCTGAGCTGCAGAAATGGAGAAGTTTCTTTAATCATCCCCTTAATTTTAATCTTAACATTTCAAAGTGATCTGGGGGATTCTGATGGTCATTGTGGGAGTGGCACTGCTAAACCCTGTCACGGTGCTAGCAACTGGAAAGCTCACTGCCTTCTTTCTCTTTCATGTAGTATCAGATGGTCAAAAGGCTGAACTAAGCAGTATGCAACTCTTTGCTTAATCTCATTCAGAAGTGTGCATAAGGGAGTAACAGTATTCTGAGCTGCTTTCCCCTTAGATAGCTGCATTACGTGTAGCACGACTTAATATTACATTTGCCTTGCAAGTAGAAGGGTAAAATTTTTCTTCCAATGTACTTCTGTTCTGCTGGCAGGTAGTGATAGAACAATATAATGCATGCTGAACTGCTCCTGTGCTATGAATGTTACTCATGGTTTTGCGGTAGAGTGCTGTTTCCTTTAGAGACGCCCAAATGTGCCTTTGGGGTTATAGCTGACTGTCGGATGGGATACTGAGGGTTTTGCTCCGCACAGAGGCGGCAGGGTGGGTAGAAAATGAACCTGCAGTGATGAACGCTACTCAAAAGCAAAGTAGGCATCTTCAGGAAGTCTTCCTCGAGGATGACCTTTATATGATATTACAGAACACAAACCCTCTGGTTGCAAATGCACACACATATGGGAGGCAAGGTATGGGAATTCTGTCAGTTCTACAGTAACTTCCGTTGTTCTATGCAGCAGTGTTGTAGCTGTGTCGGTCCCAGGATATTAGAGACACAAGGTGGGTGAGGTAATATTTTTTTATTGGATCAACTGCTGTTGGTGAGAGACAAGCTTTTGAGGTACATAGAGCTCATCTTGAGGTCTGGGAAAGGTACTAGGGCTACATCTACACTACAGCACTTACAGCAGCGCAGCTGCGCCTCTGTAGTGCTTGTGGTGGAGACGCTCTAAGCTGATGGGAGAGAGCTCTCCCGTCAGCTTAACTCCTGCTCCCATGGTGGGCGGTAGCTATGTTGGCGGGAGAAGCTCTGAAGCGGCGCTTAGGTCCATATTATTTACGTCGCTCAGGGGTGTGAATATTCCATTCTTTAATGAAGACAAGGTCTAAGAGTGTCACAGCTAAATACAAGACTGAACAGATAGTTTAGTGTAAGTAGTAAGTACATATTTAAAGGGACCACTCAAAGTGAAGTGGCCTGTTAACTCCCCTGTACTCACAGGACAAACGGGGAGAGTGGGTTACAGATTGTTGTAATAGGTCATAAATCCAGTGTCTTTATTAAGACCATGATTGTTAGTGTTCAGTAAGTTACGAATTTAAACTCCCAGGCTTGTCTTTTGAAAGCATTGTGCAGGTGTCCTTTGAGGATGAGGACTGATAGATCAGATAAGAAGATATATGGTGTTTGTCTTTTATTCTTTTATTCTTTTCCTGTGAAAGTTCATTTGAGAGCATAGTGATTGTGCTGTTTCACCCCCATAGTTGTTCTTGGGGCACTTAGTACACTGGATGTGATAACCACATGTTGTGATAGGCATGCGTAAGATCTGTGGCTCTCAAAAGGCGTGTTGGGGAGTATGTTGATCATTGAAGCAGTGGAGATGTCTGCATGTTTTGCATCTGTTGTTCTGGTAGGGTCTGGTGCCACTTTGAGATGTTGTGCCCTGGTCTGTGGAGAACTTTCTTCTGTTGATGAGGTTAGGGGGTTGTTTGAAGGCCAGAAGAGGGGATTCAGGAAAGATTTATTTCAGGATAGGGTCCCCATTCAGCATGGGTTATAGTTGTTTGAGGATACCCCATATGGGTTCCAGTGTGGGGTGATAGATGACTACTAGGGTGTGCGCTTGGAGGAGGTTTTATTCCTGTTTTGACGCCAGTTATCTAACTACTTATGCTAAGCGTGTCCCTCTAGTTCTACAACAACGCATTCTTGAGACCTTTCACTGGGGTTTTGTAGAATTTCTCCAGCATTTCTCAAGCCTGCTATTAAATTTAGGCTGAGGGGATGTTAGTGGAAGACTTCCTTGGTGTGAACTTTTGCTGTGTTTGAAACGGATAGTTTAGAACAAGGCTTGAGGGGGAAAATAAAAAGAACCAGGCACCATTTAGAAGTAGATATGAAAGACAAGATCGAGAAATGCCACATGGGTGAGAAGTCCGCTGTCCCTCCCCTAGCTGCTTGGAGGAGTGGTGGGATTTCTACTAGGATGCCTTAGGAGCCCACTTGTGGGGCTTTATCATTTGTATCGGCCTGTGGCTGGTAGTTTTCAGATATACTTAAAGATCCCCATTCCTCTTTTTGCTTAGGCCTGGTTTAAATATAGTTTTTGTATTGGTTTAACTACTTTGGTTATCGGTATGGCATTTTTTTAAACTGAAATAGTTATACTGGGGTAACAGATTTCACACTAGGGGGTTGTGCCCGTGTACTTTATTTGCCTTCCTGTAAAGGTACAGGCTCTTTCGGAAACAGCATTTTTATACTAATATAACTGGTCCACACTGGGGAGTTGTACTCCCATCCTTCCTTGAATGGGCTACAGGTTTTTTGAATCTGTCCACTGCAACTGAGTAAATCTTTAATTGTCATTGCTGAGAGTTAGGGTATGTGTACACTGCGAAATTAGGTCGAATTTTTAAAAGTCGGTTTCTTAGAAAGCATTTTTATACAGTCGATTGTGTGTGTCCGCACACAAATGCTCTAAGTGCATTTAGTCGGCAGAGTGCGTCCACAGTACCGAGGCTGCCATCGACTTCCGGAGCATTGCACTGTGGGTAGCTATCCCACAGTTCCTGAAGTCTCCACTGCCCATTTGAATTCTGGGTTGAAATCCCAATGTCTGATGGGGCAAAAACATTGTCGCGGGTGGTTCTGGGTACATATCGTCAGGCCCCCCCTTCCCTCCCTCCCTCCATGAAAGCAACGGCAGACAATCGTTTTGCGCCTTTTTTCCTGGGTTACCCGTGCAGACACCATACCACGGCAAGCATGGAGCCCGCTCAGCTCACTGTCACCGTATGTCTGCTGGGTGCTGGCAGATGAGGTACTGCATTGCTACACAGCAGCAGCTCATTGCCTTTTGGCAGCAGACGGTGCATTATGATTGGTAGCCATCGTCGTTGTACTCCTGG